CTCTCATGCGGTTGATGGCTCGGTTGTATCTGTTTCGTTCCAACTCTAGGGCTTGCGAGGACAGTGTCGAAGGCGAGGGGAAACAGCAGCGTAGGCCGATCAGGGTGCCGATGTCGTCACGCTCTCGAGGGCGGCGAGAAGCGCAAGTAAATATGACGCGTCGGAGGCGACACCCTTGTGACGCTGAGACGAGAGCTGACTGTGGACTCAGACCGGAGGCTCTGGGCTTAGCTTGCTTGTGCCCAGGAAAGGGCTTCCATCCCGATTAGGATAGTGTTTTCCATTTTGGGACGATGTGTCGATCAACGGCCTCGTAGTATGTGCGTCATTCTCTCCTTGCAGGCTGCATATGATATCATAGCTGTCACCGTCTCTCTGTACATATATATACCGACGTTGGCGTCGATGAATCCAAGTTCCCTCTTGCACTCAAACTCCCACATTCCCTCTCTCGCGCAAACCGATCAAGTCATTAGTCTGTCGCAGGTAAGTGTTGAACTCGGTAGACGGATATTACGAGAAAATACGCGCATAGTCATTCGGACTAGCCTCGGGACTCATTCGCTCGGGCATCGTCATTCGGACGTGCATATCGAGACGTATCCGGTATTAGACGTCGGGCATACTATTGAAGTTATTGATCGTTATCGTTCACGTTCAATTGATCGTGGACTCGTTACGCATATAGTCAGACATTGTGGCCAAATAACATTTTATTACTTCGCAGCTAGCCTCCAACGTCTTCACCACCTTTCAACCATCTTCGAACATCGACTGTCGACGACCCTCCCACAAGTGGTGACCACCGCAGGGGGTAAGTAAAGTGGTTTTCCGTAAAGGTTGACATTCTGGCTAGATCGTCAATAACCTCGATTCCGATTCCAACGGCGCAAGGCGGACGCAGGCGCTTGGACGTTCAACCATCGGATCGCCAAACACGGTCGATGACTGCATCGCAGCCGAGTTCTCCAAGTCGCTCACGTTCAAATACAAATATCAATCCTTCCACAGACACGAGCATTCTCACTCTACAAAACGCGCAACGGTTATTAACAGCAAGAATGACAACAGTAGCACCTGTACCGATGCCGGCACCAGGGTCCAGGCGCGCGCCCAAGTTTCGAGGTAAGGGGCTGGAGGCATTCTTAGTTGACTTTGAAAAATTAGCGAAACGGGCCGGGCTCAAAGATGGAGACTTGCCGACGGAGGTTTTGTCGTATTGTTCTACGTCGGTCCGAGAACTACTTCGACGGAATGCAAAATTCAAAGGTAAGGACTGGGAGGACGCTAAGAAGGCTATGCGTCTGTTTTACAGGGATAAGAGCGAAGAGCAGGTGACAGTGGTAGGGTTGCGAGACTTTGCTGAACGAATGCGTAGGAAGAATAAGGTAAACACGAGCCGAGCCTTGGACGAATATGCGATAGCATTTGGTAAGCGGATGGGGGACCTAGTTGCGCAAGGCCAGATGCCCGACAAAGAACGGGATGTTTTATTCTTTAGGGGCCTGGGAAAGAACATTCGCATGGCTATTCGCCCGGAACTAAGGCAGCTTAAAGGTAAGAAACCCCTTGTTCTGGATCCTCCAACCATGGAGGAGGTGTTGAAGGAAGCGCAAGACCACTTCAACGTTCTGGATATCGACTATGACCCGGAGTCAGAAGATGATGAGACGGGGAGCGATTCGGAAGATAGTGAAGGTGAGTCGTCGGGTAATGAATCGAACTCATCGGGTGTATCGGATAGCAAAGGGAAGGACAAGAAAAGGGGTGGGAAGGTAGTGCGAGTGAAGACTGTGAAGTCAAGGGCGCCTACGCCAGATTCGGGTGCGCTCGCACTAGAAAGTGTGGCCCGGTTGTCAGAACAGGTGCGCCAGCTGACCTTGACAATGGGACAAGCGCAAGGTGCGTCGAGTATGGTGAACAACGGGCTGACAAATGTGCCGCCCAGCTTTTCAGAAGGCGGAAGGTTCTGTTGGGGGTGTGGTAAGAAAGAAGGTATAGACTTGGATCATGCGCTGAACATCAAGAGATGCCCGCAAACGTTGGATTTAATGCGCGAGGGTTTGATCAGGTTCTCACAGGAAACGGGGCGACTCGTTAGAGCCGACGGATCACAGTTGCCTCCATCGAACGGGATGCCTGGGGGTTTCGCAGCCATTTTGCGCCGGGAACAATGGGAACGCAAAGCGAAGGATCGGGACCGTGACGCACCTCCGCATCAGCAAGGTAAAGCAGCGAACGTGTTTGCCATGGGGTTGATGCGCAATGATGAGGATGTGTTGAGGGGTAACGTGTTTGCAGCTTCATGTGAGGAAGTGTATTCCTTCCCGGCTCAAACAAGAGCGCAGTCTAAAGCGATGGGAAAGGGGTCGAACACTGACGAGATACAGAAATCAGTCAGGTTTGAGTTTGAACATGTCGGTGGGAAGTCCGGAGCAAAGTCGACAGAACCAATGGTGACGGTGCGTGAACCCGCAATTCCGACAAGGCTGACCCCTGCGAGAGAAAAGGAGTCCTCGGAGGCGGATGTGCAACCACATCAGGCGAACTCCGAAACAGGATGGCGTGAACGAGAGCGGAAGAAACGTGAAGCTCAACGCGAGGCTCGTCAGCAGGACGGGGGAGATGAGAGGCCAAAGTTTGGTAAGTCCCCTCATTTCCGATTCACGTCTGACATACAGGATGGGGTATCGCTCGATGGGGTCCGTGATAAGATCCTTGACACTCCGGTATCCCTGCCATTGCGTGAGGTATTGGGGATGGCTCCGGAGTTACAGAAACGGTTTGCTGCACTGACGAGAACGAGGAAAGAGATGACAGTGCGAAGTGTAGAGTTGCAGGTCGACGACAAACAAGAGGGTACAGACGAACCAGGGACAGCCATGGTTGCATATTCAACGGCCGAAGAACTGTTTGGGTTGTTGGAGCGCTATGCGGGCGCAGTTGCAGTGGGGTCGCGCCGATACTATGCAATGGCATGTGGCGTCTTAGAAGGGAAGTTTGGATCGGAACAGGTGATGTTCCTTGTTGATTCGGGGTCGGAATTGAATTTGATCACGCGGCGGGTCTGGGAGCAATCTGGTGTCGAGATGGATTCGGACGGGTCTCGCTGGTCCCTGAAGGGGATTAATGGTGATCCTGTGCCATTACTCGGGTGCTGTCGTGACGCATCGGTCGAGATTGATGGGTGGCATTTTGACCATCATTTCTTCGTAAGTACGAGAGAGTTTGGTAACTACGACGGTATCCTAGGACAGCCTTGGCTCCAATGGCATTCGACGCAGGTCGAGTACAATCGGGGGGGACCAGTTAATTTATTAATCTATCCTACAGGAGACCGTACAGACAAGCCAATCAAGCTGAAGATTTTAGGGCCTGCGCATCAACGAAATTCAGACAAGCTCATCATGGACGAGCCGGACAAGCAGAGAGTAGTGTCGTCAGTCGAGGAGGTTTCTGACGAGGGTTTCTAGATCTGGACGTGCATTTAAAACCGCGCCCTTTCACGAGGGGTACGTCCAGACATATTCCGCGGATAGGAAGAACATTATACGCAATGGTGGGTGAAGTATCGATTGTTTCGATTGACGATGTTTGCAGGCTAGTACAGTATGATCCTCCGAATTCATTTGACTCTATTCTACGCACAACTCTTTCTATTTCATCAGTAGGTTCGGTACCAATCCCAAGTCCATGGGTCAAGCGGGTTATGAGCAATTGCGTGGCTTCGGTATCTGTAGGGAGGCGGTACAAACCCGTCGATCAGAAAGTACGTCCGGTACCTACGTATATGCCTAATCCTTCAGCACAGAAATTCAAGCCGATCGACGTGTCGAATTTACCTCCTCTTCCTACGAATCCGCCTTCAAGGTTTGAGTTCAGACCAACGGAACGACTTACTCAGGATAGATTGGACGCGATTATTGATACCGTGCCAGAAGGGTTCTTGACATCAGCTGAGTTGGATCTGATGGTTTACATAGTTGATAATTGTCAGCAGGCGATTGCATGGACAGATTCTGAACGAGGTACGTTCTCTCGTGAATACTTCCCTGATTATGAAATGCCCGTTATAGAACACACGCCGTGGGTACGCGCGCCAATACCTGTGCCAAGGGCCATTGAAGGAAAGGTACGTGAGATGCTTAGAAAGCAAATTGAAGCAGGAAAATATGAGTATTCCTCGGCGTCGTATCGATCGTCAACGTTTACGGTTGAAAAGAAGAGTGGTGACTTACGCAACGTGCACAACTTGAAGGATTTGAATGGGGTAACGATACGGGATTCTGCATTACCTCCGCGACCAGATAAATTTGCAGAAAGCTTTGTGGGTTATGTCATTTACCTATTAGCTGACCTTCTATCAGGATATGATGCGCGGGTTCTTGCGGAAACATCAAGAGATTTGACTACATTTCATTCGCTGGTCGGTCCGTTAAGGCTCACATGTTTGCCACAGGGATATACCAATTCGATGCAAGAATTCCAGCGCTGTACAACACATGTTTTGGGAAACATGTGCCCCGACAAAGCGAAGGTATTTGTGGATGATATGGCGGCACATGGGCCGAGCTCGAGGTATAATGAAGAAACAATTCCAGAGAATGACGACATCCGTAGATTCGTTTGGGAATATGCTCACGTCGTCTATGAATTGTTTTCTAGGTTAGAACGCTCTGGGATAACGGCATCGGGTACGAAGATCGTCTTAGCAACGCCTGCGCTTGATGTTCTAGGTGCTATTGCCTCCGAAGAGGGTCTTCAGTTGCATCATGGGCTGGTCAATAAGGTACTGAAGTGGACGTATCCGACTAATGTGTCGGAGGTGCGGGGCTTTCTAGGAACGGCTGGTGTTGGACGCAAATGGATCAAAGGTTTCTCAATAATTGCACGACCACTGACAGTGCTTACCAGGAAGTCAGAAGATGAGTTCATATTCAACGAGGAAGCGAAACGCGCAATGGACGAGCTCAAACGGTTGGTGACTGAAGTGCCGGTACGCAAATCGATTGATTATGAACTAGGCAGACTAATTACACAGGGGACGCGAGCATCGAATCATGGACTTGTGGTTCTAGCAGTAGACTCCTCGATATATGGGGCTGGGTGGGTGCTTTATCAGTACGTGCACGTTGACAAGCATCCAGTTCTCTTTGGGTCGTGTACATTCAATCCG